GGAGATTTTGATGGTTGTCAAAAGTTTGTGATGAATAGTTTGGACATAGTGATTGATTGTTAGTGCTATTTTTATGAGATTCGCTCGTCTGGTCTTACTTCACCAAATTTAAATATTACGTTGTGTCCTGATTTTGAAACTATTATGGAAAGAATTTATATTTATATTTATATATTTGTATTAGGCATTATGTGTGTGTATCTTTGTTTTGGTTGTTCTCCACTTTCTGAGATATTGTATGTATGAATACACACACGCTGAACCTGCAAGCCTTCAAGAATCAAGATCAATTTAGGGGTATAGTATCCTAATACATTAAGCCATGTTTTTTTGGCTTAACCCATGAAGTTCATCCTAACCCTTAAATAACCTAACTTACGGTTTCAATCTATTATTGTATGGTTGAAAAACATAGACTGAATGCTCTAAAAAAGTAAACTCATTCCACTTGAAAGTTTTAGAGTAATATATATACGAAACAGAAACAAAACTATATACTAAACTATGATAAAAACTGTCTTTTTGTCAGATTTACAGCAAAAATCTGAAATCATTCTTACATTACATGTTTGTTAGTCTATCAACTGAACGGATGTGATAACAGGTATTTTTTCTCTGAGTTTCTGTGACAATGCAACACGAACTGTCATCACCCCTGCTGCGGGCCCACTGAGTCGGACTTTAACATTGTAGTCTTTGATTTCTACAAACTCCAGAATTCCACCACCCGTGCCTACCAAGTATGGCCTAATCTCCGCAAGTATCTACAATCTCAAAAAAAATATTGGTTAGCTCAACATTTTACATGAATTTCAACGCTCAACAAAAGGTCTTATTATAAAAGTCCCTTGTTTTTGGATTTGGTAAAATATTGCAATTTTTGTCCAATGCACAAGGCCTTGAATGATGTTGTAACCAAACAAGGTGATTGTAATTGTATTCAATACCTTTTCAACATTCTCCTCATTCAACTCGAGTCCGGTTTCCGTATCAATGAGTTGCTCAACATCCATGATTTCAGGGATTTTGTCTCTGAGTCGAGTCTCGATTCCCATTTTGAGTGTCATTGTTGAACTTGGACAGGAACCACATGCACCTTGGAGTTTAAGGACAACAACAAGACCATCAATCTCATGCAACACAACATTCCCTCCATCCGCCATAAGTCCAGGCCTCACTTCATCCAACACCTTCTCCACATTCTCTTCCGTTAATGGAAGAACACAAACAAACCCTACAACCAGATTCAATTTGAGAAAAAAGATTCATACCCGGAATATGAAAGTTATGGGTTTGACCTTAAAAGTCAAAGTTTATCAAGAGAAAATAACCCTAGAAAACTTGTTTGATTCATGATTTATGAATTTCAGTGGATTTCATCATATAAAATATAAAAGTATGTTAAAATAGACTGAGAAAAGAAGAGTGACTGTTGCTTAGAAAGCATAAAGTAATTGTTGATCATTCATCCTTGTAAAATTAAAGTTTAATTGCTTCCTATGGCAACATACTTTCTCACAACGTACTTTTAAATTATAGCAAATAGCATCATACTTTCAAAGCTGTTACATTGTTTACTTAAGAATCCTATATATTAGATTACCTTGCATTTTAAATTACGCATTTACCCCTAATCAACCATACACTTTATTACTAATCTTCAACACTTTATTACATTGCAAGTTCATGGGAGGGAGTATGGTGTACCTGAACGCTTTTTTAGTCGTCGCCTGGTGGAATCTATTCGGAGAAATTGGTTTATGTGGAATTCTCCACTCAAAAATGACTTCTGTTTCGACAAATATGATCCCTGATTACAGAAGCAGAAACAAAAATGGAACAAAGCTTCGTAACCAATTTCGAGTAATAATGGAAAAGGTTTAGCGAAATGAGCAGAAATCGGTACCTTTATGGGGAGGGAAACGTGTGAAGGAGAAGGTTTATCGTCAGATGTATAACAACAGATAGATGTTGAAGAAGATGGTGTTGATTTCAAACATCTTGTTTGAGTGGCGATTGCACCCATTAGTTTTGTTCGATCAATACTGGAATTCGATTTCGATTGAAAACGGTTGACGAGAGATTGTTGATATGATTATGACGAAATCAAATTCGAATTTTTATGGATTTGGAGAGGCATTTTCCTCCCGTATATCTGTGGACAGAAACTCATCTTCAAACGTTTAGCTTCTTTTTCCCTCATCGACACGGATAGGATAATACATTTTCAGTACGAAAAGTAAATTTAAAAACATTTAAATTTTGAAAAATTGAGAAATCTAACCATTTTTCAATATTTTAAAAACAATAACCATGTAAAAAAAAAAATGACCATCAGCTCTGAAACGGGTTATTCAGGTCATGTTTTCGTCACGGTTATAAAATCCAATCTCACCCGGTTTTGTGGTCTCCTATAAATTTCGTTTTAGAGTTAATTTACACGATTTCACTTATTTTGGAGGCCGTTTCGAACCTACATTCCAAAGATATTTTGAACCTAATAAATCATAAATTTCTTCTTCGTGAGGCGAATAGATTCACTTTTTTATATGTAAGTTTATAATTATATGTCTTTACTACAGATTGTATGTTAACGTCGGCATAATTTATGCAATTATATAGGTTTTATTTGTTTTTATGTGATTTTTAGTCGTATAAAGGTACTTATAGGATTACATTTACTTATATATGTATATCACATCAAAAAATCTTACAAATATACTCATTTTGACTTGTCTGGAATGAATCCAAAATCCGTAAAACACCTTCGGTATATTAAGAACTTGTCCGAAATACAACGAACAGTTCCAAAATATAGATTTGGATTGTTATTTCCTGAAATCCATATCCGGAAAAGGATTCCAATTTTTTTGAACTGAAATAGTGGTTTGTAACATGTATTCCGAAGTGTTGTCCGGAGCGTACATGCTAAATTGTCTTATTAATGTTTCTTTTGGTTGTAGCATGACATGACATATGAAACGGTTGCGACTACAATCTGCAGGCCTGCACTTGGGCGGGAAATCATGGCTCGTTTATAAAACCGAGGAGTTTGTTCGACAATGTTTAAGCAATCATGTTTTGGTGATTATGTGAACATGTCGATGGGTGTGGAATGTCATCATTTACTCTATCACTATCTTATATGCATCAAATATACTATAATGATCCAATAGACCTACAATAGCTTTTATTTTCGGTATACGACTATCGAGGTTGCTTCGACAGGAAAACATTCTGCTTGATTACCAAGTTGTGGTTCGAGAATTATTCCCCCCCCCGCCACATTCTGATTTTGCACTGTTCTGAGATGTATGTCCATTTGTGTCTCCTTCACATTTGGTGAGAATGGTTGACCTTATGCATGTGTTTAATGACTTACTTAATCAATTAGGTGATGCAGACACGGTGAGAGTCTCCCTACTGTATATGCTAAAGTAGGGAATTTTGGGGAAATTTCCTCGACAGCCAGTTACTAATGAACTTCTTGCAATCGTCTCTAATTTAGACGACTTTAATAGGTATATAGTTATTTGAATACATTATATGGAATGATACATATACTTATTAAGCGTAATTGTTGACACAAGTACACATAGGGCAGAGTGATATGTGATTCACTTACAAACAATTGTGTACTGTCTTTGATAAGATTGATTAGCATTTGCACCCCACCCAACCAAGAGTCGGCAGTAGACATACATATATTGTGCAGAGATTTGTCTATGCATTTAAGGTATGTCGATTATTTTAAAGTTAACAAACAAATTTTAAAGAAAATCATATTATGTACACTATGGGTGATAAATATGAAAGTTTACAAAATGGAAGGGAGTGAAAATGACATTTTACAAAGTTCAAAGTCGAGGGAATTAAAGTGACATTTTAAAAAGTTGAAGGATGGAAAATTTCATTTTATTGAATTTTGACGATTGTATTGATATACAAGGTTGGTACCCAGTGGCGGAACCAGAAATTTTGATATGGGGTGCAAACATTGTTAATATATATATTATATGTAGTTATCCAATTTTAGATATTAAAAAAACATGTTATAATCTCTTTAGTTGGGAGTACAATAACATGAAAAATGTTTATAAATAATAGTTTATATATATATATATATATATAAAATAATTTTTTGGGGGTACTGTAGTACCCCCAACGCCCCATCTAGCTCCGTCACTGTTGGTACCGCTAATTAACTTCAATTCATAACGCTGTATAAAGATATATTATATGTGACATGACTCATATGTTGGAAAAAATAAATAAAAGTGAGCATGAAAACATACATAGAATTTACGTTGAAATGTAAAGAAACTTGAACTTGACTCATACGTAGGAAATGTACATAAAAATAAGCAAGAAAACATAAAAAAATACATCAAAAAAAGAAAGTAATCTTTTAAAAAAAAATAACAAACGAAAGTTCTAAATTTACATCGAGCAAAAAACATCTAATTCTAAAAAAAACGAACTAAAGTTCTAAATTTACGTTGATACGTTGACCATCTCGAATTTATATCGACACATATATAAAAATAAACACATAATTAATTAGTTTTTTAAGTTAAAAAATAAAAGTTATTAAAAAAATCAAAATATACTTTACAGGGGGTAAACATGAAAGTTTAGAAAGCCAAGGGATGCAAATAACATTATAGAAATTTTGAAACCGAGGTGGATGGAGCAAACATTAAAGTTTAGAAAGTCGGGGGTGAAAGTGACATTTTACAAATTTGAGGGGTGGTAAGTGGTAACTATAGAAAAATCAGATTATATATATATATATATATATATATATATATATATATATATATATATATATATATATATATATATATATATATATACACACTACAAAAGATAAATACCAAAGTTTAGAAAATAAAACGGTAAAAACAACATTTTAGAAAGTTCAAAGTTGACACGGTTGAAATGACATTTTAAAAAGTAGAGAGTGGAAAGTAGGTATGAAACTTAAAACCGAAAAAGAACCCGTATGACCGAAATATACTAAATATATCTTTTTAAATCATTTTACATTTGTTATCTAGTTTATCAACTAGTTTTTACCAAATACTATTATTTTATCATCTACAAGCTAATGTTAAACACAACCGTAATCAAACAACCATATTTGATAAACATTCAAATACCCATCCAACTTATCATGTCAAATGACTAGTTTAAGTTTAAAGCCTTTGATTTTCTGTAACCATTGTCCCCTTATACCATCATAAAAGATAAAACTCACAATATATAATGAACCCAACACGACCTCATATCAATCCTTCTATGTATACTTTCTTCAATTTTTTTAATTTTTTTTTTTTTTATATCAACCATGCCTATTAAACCATTCCATATTTGCCTTTTGTTTTGTCCACTCCTGTTTGGCATTGCTATGGCCATTGCCATTACAATGGCTGAAACATTATTTTCCACTTCCCTGCTAACAGTGAATACTAGAGTGTTATTTAGAACTACTCAAACAACAACGTAGTTTTCGATATAAAAATAACTTTCCTGATTTAATAGCATTTAAAACCACTAAAAATGATATTTTGAGTAAAAACTAAGAGTACGTTTGGTTGTAGAAAATTTTCTAGTTTTCTAGAAAAATTTCTAAGAAAAACGGAAATTTTAAAAACGTGTTTGGTTCGTTCAGTTTTCTAAAGTTTTCTAAGAAAATGAGGGTGCGTTTAGTTGCGGAAAAATGGGTCGTTTTCTGGAAAAAATTTCCAAGAAAAATGAGAATTTTGAAAACGCGTTTTAGTTCGTCTATTTTTCTAAAATTTTCACGGAAAATGAAAATTTTTGGTTTTCTAAAATTACAAAGAAGTTGGAAATTTTTAGAAAACTGATAATCATTGTTTCTACATTTCTAATTCCAAATTTTTTCTAACGAAAACCGAAAAGGGAAAACAAAAAACTATTATTTGAAAACTATTTTTCTGTAACTAAACGCAACCTGAAAATTTTCAGTTTTCAAAATTGTATGTAAATTAGAAAAACGATTTTTACAGTTTTCCAAAGTTTTCCAAATTTCTAAGATGGAAAATGAAAACTCCAACCGTTCCAACCAAATGCGTTTTCATTGAAAATTGAAAATGAAAACTCAACCCTATTTTCTGAAAACATTTTTATAGAAATAATATTTTTAAAAAGAAATAATATAACCGGCCGCTTAAAATGACATAAAATTTTGTGATTATGGGTTTAGTGAAAAGTAGGTGGTTTTATCATTTATGGTTGAGCATAATTATATATACCTGTACATGATGATGTTAAAAGTTAAAACATCCGATTTTCCTTCAACTGCAGCTTTAACAAACTATGTGAGGGTCAAGCTTCCCACTACAGTAGCTTGAATGAACAACCAAAAGCTGTTGCCTCCCTTTCCATTCCTCTCCAAGTTTCAATGTAATCGGGTATTCCACTGCTGCAGCCTCCACACAAAGCATATGCTTGTATTCATCATCTCCAAAATCAGGCATAGCCTTCGCCTTCTTATCCCATGGATTCCAAACCCCTACAAAAAATATATATTATTATATCATTTCATTTCAAAAAATTTAAAAATCTACACACATTGTTGTTAGATCTCAACAGTCAGAGTATTTGAAAACTTTCTTGATCTTACCAGCATCAGGAAGGCCATCTTTCCGAATCACAAATGTGCGT